GACACCTCTCCGGTCAATAACCAATAGCGGGACCTGGATGCCCATATTGGTTCCTACATATTCCATGAAGATCTTTTATCGGTTGAACCACGATGTCAAGGATTCGGTTAATCCCGTATGCAATTCCCTTTGTCTGGCGATATGTTACTTGCCCGAGTTCGATCGCCGGTATCTCCATACCTAGTTCAATCTCGTTACCGGCAAGTCTCTTTACTCGTTCCGTAATACAAGATATTGTGACTAACTCTTTAGACACATTGCTTGCAAGCTCTTTACGATGTTGTATTACTGAGAGGGCCCAGAGATATCTCTCTGCCACACGGAGTTACAAGTCCCAGTCTCGATCCATGCCAACCCAACAGACACCTTCAGAGATACCTGTAGAGCATATTTATGATCACCCAATTACGAAGTGACATTTGATAGCACACAAGGTATTCCTCTGGTATCCGGGAGTTGCATGATCTCATGGTCTTAGGAATGGATACTTGACATGAAGAAAACTATAGCAATAAACTCAAGTGATACGATCGAATGCTAAGCTTACGGTTGGGTCTTGTCCATCACATCATTCTCCTAATGATGTGATCCCGTTATCAAATGAAAACCCATGTCTATGGTTAGGAAACCTTAACCATCTTTGATCAACGAGCTAGTCTAGTAGAGGCTCACTAGGGACATAGTATTTGTTTATGTATTCACACATGTATTTAAGTTTCTGGTCAATACAATTCTAGCATGAATAATAAACCTTTATCATGAACAAGGAAATATGATAATAACCAATTTATTATTGCCAATAGGGCATATTTCCAACACATGACTGGTATAGATGACTATAAATCTTAATCGGGCTACGTTTTCACACTCAATGGTGGTGTAGTGTGCTGGAAGAGTTCTAACCAAGACACTATTGCGGATTCTATGACGAAATCAGAATATATTGCATAGAAGCTTCGAAGGAGGCAGTTTGAATCACGAAGCTTTTTGAAGAACTAGGTATGGTTCCAAGCGCGATGAACCTCATGAAGCTCTATTGTGACAAGAGCGGCATGGTGGCTCAAGCAAAGGAGCCAAGGTCCCACCAACATATTGAACACAAGTACCACATTATCCGACATCATGTAGAAAATAGTTTTTAGGAGCAATGGACAGTGGGGAGCCTCCCACTAAATTTTTTATTTATAAAAGAAGAAGTATCAACAACAATTACAAGGAGGTGTGCGGGGAGAAGGGGTAGAATTAGAGGTGTAGGGGGAGGGGAGAGGCGGCAGTCACTAGTCAGCCAAAACACTAAGTACAAAGTTATACAAAGACCCAATAAAAGATTGGATGAAGGGGACAAGCTTGCGATTGGCTTTGTGAACCAGCAGCCGAACGTCTTCCTTAAACCGGAAAAAATAGTTTTGTGGAAGTACTAAAGATTCACATGGATATGAATGTATCAGACTCGATGACTGAAGCCTCTACCATGAGAAAAATAGGATCGACACCGAATTGCCAGTGGTATAAAGGAAGTTATGTAAACTAGATTATTGACTCTAGTGCATGTGGAAGACTGTTGAAAGTATGCCCCAAAGGCAATAATATCTGAGTATTATTTATTTCCAAGTTTATAGTTAATGTTTATATTCTATGTTATAACTACTATGGTTTTCAAACCTGCGATAACCAACAGGTTCAGAGGAAAACTTATGTGCACATATAGAGTTATAAACGGTAAAACAAGATTCCTAGTCTTGCCTCTAGGACTTGCTCAAGTATTGTATGGTGGTTCTTTTTTCCTAATCATGGGCATGACTATAATGCCAACAACATTGAGAGCACGATGTTGGTAGAACACTTGTGTTGAATTGACCCAAGTTATATGTTATACTGAGAGATGGAATTTTCGCAACTCTATAGTTCATAACACGGGCAGTTGACATATGCATAATTCCTTAGACCATTAGAGTACCGAGTTATTCCATACCGGATGATGCACTTTGGGGTTGTTCTGACGTCAACTGTAATAGTGTGATCATAACGGCAACTTATAGGTTCATCGGAAATGTACGTTGAGGGGCTACATAGACTGAGATTTGCTCCTTCAACGATGGAAAGATATTCTTAGGGTCCTCTCGATATGATGACATCTATTATCGTCTGGCCCGACACACCATGAGCTTGATCACGGGGCTGCCAGACATCCAGTCTATTCGTAACACATGTCCAAAGTGGCTTTTTGATGTGCTTGATCATGGGAATTGCTTTATCCTTGGAGTGGAGCACACTTTCGTTTACCCTTGAGATAGACGGTGACGAGGCTGCCGTGATGATTGCCAATCCTTCATAAAACACATCGCAACATGACGCCATCATCCAAGAGATTGCTGCCATGATGAGAAGAGGTAGAGAGGTAATAGTGATGAAAGCTATTATGACGGGGTGTAACCATGTTAGCCAGCACTACTTAGCTCAGGTGGGTAGACGTAGGATAAAGACGAATGTATGATTACAGTCGCGAACCGGGTTGTGAACTTGTGTGAACTGCGGAACTGGACTGCCACGATCCAGATTAACTAACAGACAGCAAAAAAAATGCTTTGGATGGTTAGAGGGACTATGATAATCTCAACCCAGATTCAAGTCCTGGTGCTTGTATTTATTCTTAGATTTATTTCAGGATTTCCGGCAATGCACATTCAATGAAAGGAGACGTTTCCGTCGACGAGGTGCGCAGGTGTGACCTAGCTCCTGTCCCAGCCGCCACCGGCTGCCCGTTTCGTCGCCTCCCCAACCATACGCTTATTCACCTCTACCCCCAAAAAATATAGGACTCTGCAGTCAACTCAATTCATTTATTTTCTCGTTTTATTAGTGTTGAATCAGGCTTGCTCGCAAGATCCTCCTAGTTGGGACAGAGAGACGTCGATGAAGCGGCGTTGTGTTAATCTGGTGACGCGGAATTGGGAGAATGGGATTTACGCACTGCGCCGCCTCAATCCCGACGTGCATCTCTTCTACCAGTCAAAAAATGACGCAAAAGAAGTAACAGAGATCAACGCGATGGATTCTGCAGCATCAGCAGCAGATGATAGCAAGAAAACGAAGAGATCTTCCTGTCCAAGGATGCGTAGCCTGCGGCGGCTGCCTAGACCAATCGCCAGATTCGATCCGTCGCCGGCCGGCCTATGGATCAATGACGGCCTGGAGTGGTTCGAGCTGCTGGGCCCCCGCCGCAGCGAAAGCAGGGTCGTCAACGCCAACGTGGCCGGCGACACTGTGCTATACGACGCCGACGAGGGCATCATCTTCAACCTGCCTTCGCTCCACGAGCCCAAGGGAAGCAACCCCGTCTGCCTCTCAATCACCCACCCCGACGCCGAGGAAGACGCTCTCTACGTCATGGACCGCTATCCCGGCCGGGCGAGCACGGGCGGCCCCGGCATGCCCTCCTGCTTCGAGGTGCTCGAGTACAGGCCCAGCTCCAGATATCTGGACGACAGCATGAAGGGGTGGGGTTGGCGGGCTCTCCCGCCGCCGCCCTTCATCCACGAGCACGGGTACGAGCCCACCAGGATCACATCATACGCCGCCGTCGGGGACGGGACTACCTTGTGCATCTCGTCGGACAGGAACGGCATCGGCACCTACTGCTTTGACACGGTGGAGGCGGATCCTCTAACTTAGAAAAGCAAAGTCACGGTGCTACAGTGTAATCATAGTGTAAAATGAAGAAGGAATGTTAGAAACGTTTAGCGAATTATTTACTATTGATATTTACTGTAGATATAAATAATCTATAATTAATTTTATTTCACCATCAAATTGTTTGTATGTAATGATTATGAATGTAAACATTAAATCTGCAATTTGCATATTAATTTAAATCATTTTAACCTTAATCATATGGATTGCAAGAAGGAAAGTTAGAGGATTGTAGTTTCTCTAACTTTCCTTCTTAATGTTAGAGGATCTGGTTCCTGACACGGTGCGCGACGATGATATCCACCGTCTAGGGTGGGATTACCGGGACGAATGGAGGCACGAAAATATATAATAGAACATCTGCACCCCGGCCCGCTTATCTGGTGCGTCCATATCCCTCTGGATATGTGCCAGCCGTTCCCGTAAAATCGTCAGGCCACGGTTATATCGAGTGGGTTAGCAGTGTACCTTCGACCATGATGTGCCTACTGCATAGCATAGGGTACTGTTCAGCTAGAGTTAGGACAAACAACTATCGGACACTCCAGGAGGCAGCCCGTGACTCTGGTCCATCTGCGTTCCCTCTTGCCTCTAGGAGCAGGCTAGGCGGCGGGGGAGGGGGATTCATCTAAGGCAGAGCATGGAGAGAACCCAAATCTGAGGGGGAGGCTGGAGTTTCGGGTACAAGAGGAGGCGCCGGGACGGGCTGGCCGCCGGGGGAATCTAGCACCGGGCCGCAGCGGGCACCGCCGCCCCTGTCATCTCGCGTCGCGGGCCATTGTACGGATCTATCATAGGTAAATCTTTGATCTCAGCTATGCGCATAGGTTCTTTGAATGTTGGGATGTATTTTGGCATTGGGCACATATCAGGAGGGTGATTATTCATGGTTCTCTGTGTTCCACAGGCTAGATTAGGTACGGGGTTGGGGCAGTATATATAAGCCGTCAACATGCAGGTAAGATGGCATGTAGACTTAATCTTGATTATTGGTATGTTCTTTTGGGAAGGGGCCCGAGGATGCAAATGTATTGCGCATTATGTCTGGCTGTCTTGTCTGACTCATGTTAAGGTGGCTTGGATAGAACAGATGTAGCTGATACGTTGCCATCGTACATGGATCAAGGGTTATAGCTAGCTGTTTTGGGTGTTTGGGATGCGCCAAGGTGTACGTTGGGAAATAGCAGTAGTATAGAATTCAATGATATATAGTTTATGTAACTGACAAATGACAGGTTCATATCGCTGATTTTTTTTTTTGCATGTTCACCGTGTTCTATCTAGACAGCATTAATTTGGGGGAAATAAGCATGGCACATGAAGTGTTCCCCAGAATAAAAAATTCCACGGTGGATAAAATTAGAACCATGATCAATGCCGACAAAAGGCCAATGGATTCAACAAAGAACGGAGATTTCATTTTTGGCATTTCAGCAGTAAGTCTCCACACAGAACATAATAGGATTCAGTTTACCGCTGCATCTTCAAAGAGAGGGCATACTAATCGGCCTTTGCCCTTGTTTTGCAGCCACGAGATGCTGCTAGTTCAGCATATTCTAGGGCAGATGACGGCTATAATGCACAACAAGAAGGGGATGCTTGGGCATGTGCATGAAAGATTTGTGATTCTATGGGCCTGACACATCAGGTGACACTCCTGATGCAGTTTCGAGTGAACGTTAGGGTGTGACAAATTAAAGTCTCTTGTGGGCATAGTTTGCCTGAGACTGTTTCTGTTGGGGCCCAAGTGTTTGTATCATAAAGATCTAGATTGGCTATGTGGACCTATATATTAAGTCGTCAAACCATGGAATGATTTCGAAGGTCAAGTACAAACTACTGTCTGCGGACATGACCGAAATATAAGTTGCTTGGTATGGATGTCAAGTTACGAACGACCGGTTGCATAGTTTTCGTTCTTTTAAATATACGTTGAAGCTGGTTTGTGAACGAACTTCCGATGATATAGACATCATGCTGAAACATGTACCTGGCACTTAGGAAATGTCGGCTGGACCCACACGCCGCTCATCGTGTGTTTGGGCAACACCCAAACTGAATAATGTGCATGGCACAATTGTAGCAGTCTCAGTTTGGACTATGGACCTGGCACATTTTGGGTGTACCTTGCAATCATGTGCCTGTGGATTATTGTAGTCACCTGTAGTGTACAAAGCACAAGTCATCCGGGTGACATGTACAAGGTACAAGAAGCGTGAGCACAGAGAGGTTTCAACTGCGTACGTGCCGAGCACGTGATCTGCAAATACATGTGCCAGGCACATGATGTGTAATACGACAATCTGGAGGAAAGGGAGGTGGGTGGCGGTCGTGCGATCTACTCCCTCCGTTCCAAATTACTCATCATGGTTTAGTTCAAATTTGGTTTTTGTTCAAATTTGAACTAAAACCACGACGAGTAATTTGGAACAGAGGGAGTACAAGTGTTGAAACCAATCATGTGTTTCCTGATTGTGTAAGACAAATTTCCGGCGTTGTAGCTCAGTGCACAACTTCCATTCATGTTGTTGCGCAAGCAGTATCCAACAGAAAACAGATAATCATGGGATTTATAGTAAATCAATGCAGAGAGATCGCCATTAGAAAAAACATGCAAACCAAGATGATAATTAGTCGACGGGGATGCATAGGTGCAAACGTCACAGTCACATACCACGCATAAGGGGCTACAAGTTACAGATTCATGGATTTAACAAAAGAGCAAGCATTGCGCAGATGCACGATCACACAATATAGCACAGAACGATTCATAGTCTGTGCCCCAACCATACACTAGACACCACATAGGTGTTTTAAGATATGATGCACACTCGGACAGTCATTGACGCAGTCCCAGCGCGTTCGTGGAATGTGACGACCACAAGATCATCTTCCTTCATTTGGATGTGTATGACATACTTCCGAAAACCTCCTTCAATTACAAGCCTGCCATCTTTTGATTTCTTGAACAATGCCGTTACATGGGCTCCTGCATCATCATGCACAAGAATGATCCCTGAATCGTCCAAGACGCCCGCATTGCTCTCAATGAGATCATTCTTCGGGATCCTCTATCAAATGCAAACAACAACACGTTTGTGAACAGCCATCCATAAGCTGATCGTGAAATACAAAACAAAAAACATATATGTCATGATAATATGTTTATGTTCACTAACCATGTAGCCATCTTTAATGTCAACTCCATTCATCTTGTGCACAAAGATGCATCATACGTCTTCCAAAGCCCCGAATGCACATCTAATCATCTTTTTCATCTCTGAATATTCAAACTGATGTATACCCCTCGTGTACATGCAATGGTCGACGAGCTCGCGCTTCACGAGGGATAGGCCATTCAAAGCTGGCCACAACATCAAACTTATAAGCCAACACACATTTTGCAGCGAAAGTAAAATGTTCAAAAAAGAGATTTAACACAGACTTCCGAATTCAATGTGGTAGCCTTACCAACGAAGTGGCGTCTGCCTCACGCCAGCCATCCCCATGATTCCTGGTCCTCATAACTCCATGATCAACCATCACTTCGTACTCCAGTAGTTCTCTTGTGCCATCTTAGAGCTTCAACCCAATAGAAGGTTGTCATCGGAACTGAAACATGGCAAGACGGTCCTTCAAGATCTCCACATACGGCAGGCGGGTTTTTGCAATTAGGGAACTCCATGGCCTACATGTTAAGAAATAAAAAAATAAGCAACTATACACCAAGTAGTTGTTAAATCCATGTCCAGAATCTTTGCCATGAATAAAAACAAATCATTATACTACGCCAATGGGGTTTTCATAAATCAATATCTGGTCTAGCGCGTGTAATAGCGCTCAACAGTTTTATGTGAGCGTGCATGTTCCAGATTATCGTGTATCGCAATAAGTATATGGTGAGAGAGAAAAACAACTCAGTTGCCCAGATTTTTCCAAGTTGCAGCATTTAATTCGTGGCATGATCCATAGACCATTGACAGCCAAATGCAGGGCATTCTGAAACTTATGTTTGGATGTAAACGCATATATCATTTGGAACATCCTCTTGTTATGCACAGGCGAATGTTTTTTGAAAACATCGTGATTTTTGTCTTGTGTAAATAAACCAAAATATGCTCAGGTTAAGCTGACGTGAGATTTCAACGACCATTTCGAGCCATGCCCTTTTTGTATCAAGCTTATTGAGTGGTGTAAATAAATCATACTATGCCCAGAATATCGTAATATAAAGGTGTGTTACACCGAAACACGTTCCATCATGCACCATGGATGATATGAGTATGGGATGCGTTGCCGATCTGCGACATTCAGCAGTAAAACGCCTAATACCAGGGGAAATGAGAGAGTAATGCTTAAGTTTATGAAACAATTTAGGCCAAATAAGCTTAAATTCAGTGATCTACACCATCACCCCTCACACCATTCTCACAAAGATGACACACCTTGGGTCAGGATTATATGGGAAACATATTATCAAGATGGGCTGCCATGTAACAAATTGGTGGGCTCATTCTGGTGGAAAGGCATTCTGCAGACATTGCCTGAATACAAGAAGCATTCTAGATGTATTCCAGGAAAGGGGGAGACTATTCTGCTGTGGCACGACAATTGGTCGGACCTACCACTTCATCTAAAGATGCCTGAGCTTTATTCTTTTGCCATCAACAAAGATATCACACTGAATCAGATGCATGAGCATCAGGCACTGGAGAACTGCTTCCACCGACCTCTCTCACAACAAGCGTTTACTCAATTCAACATCCTTCAAGATCAACTGCATGGTCTGACTCTCACTGATGACTCTGATAAGTGGACATACACTTGGGCCTCACCAAACTACTCTGCAATGAAGATGTACAAACATTTGTTTGCCAAGAATGGGGCTCACTTCATCTTCAGGCAGCTATGGAAATCGAATTGCAGACTAAGACACAAGATTTTCTTCTGGATGCTACTCTATGACAGAGTTAGTACAAGGAACATGCTACACAGAAAAAACATGTATTTGCCAGACTACAACTATGCTCTTTGCTTGGACAAGACACAAGAAACTTTAATTCACCTGTTCTGGGACTGCCACTTTGCATTAAACTGCTGGAACTGTATCCTCCCAAACAGACAGAGGGGTATTTCGACCTACGATGAGATTGGAATGATGATTACGCTTCTTCCCCAGGATTTGGCTATGGAGATCATTATCATGGGCTGATGGGCCATCTGGATGGTCAGGAATGATAAGATTTTCAGATCTTCACTTCCTAGTTTGAACTCCTGGAAATTCTATGTTCAGGAAGGCATGCAACACATCAAACTCAGATCAAATGAAGCCAAGGCCGCAAAGATAGACCAGTGGATTGAACAGACTCTGTAATTCTTTTTATTATGATACCTAGAACAGGCATTGGGTGATTTGTTGTGTGGTCTTGTACTTTGTATTTTGTTTATATTATATAAAATACCGTAGAACAATTGTTCTACGGTCACAGGGTCAAAAAAAAACCATTCTCTCCATCCCCGGCATTGCCAATAAAACTGAAGTTGAGAAACCGTCACACAGACATGGAATCTACGAATCTTGAATGGGAAGTAATGACCAGATTTGGTTTCGGGAAGCAATAATATGAATCTTATTTTCTCGGAGGAAAGTATCGGTTACAGCGGAGGCAGGAAGGGGACGACGCATACCTAGGACCAGGGCGTAACGAGATCCTCGCGTTCCAGCCGCCGGACCTGTTTCTGAATCCGCCCGGCTCCCGTCGATGGATGAAGATGGAGAAGTTCTTTAGGGAAAAGGGATGGGGCGGACGCTCGCGTGCTTGGGGAATAGAAGCAGGCAGACGCTCGGCGCGCGGGGGTGTTCCGGATCCTTCCAGTCCAAGATCTGTGGTCCGGCACAGAATCAAGAAGAAAGGGGGATTCAGAATCTCATTTGGGGAAGCTGAAAAATGATTAAGACGCATCCCGGATGAGCGTTGCGAATAGCATAGCAGTATCCAGACTCGATACGTACCTACAGCCGTCCGCCGGAGAGGTTCCCGGGGCGGCAAGCGCCGGCGCCATTGAATCGCCTCCTTGCACCCAATCCATTAGAGCGAACGAGCAGGGCGCTGTATAGGGAGAGAATTTAGTCGTATTCACGGGTCCGCGTCGGTATGCAGGGGACGGGTGGAAGACAAGGAGGTGCAGAGCAGCTGTTACCCTACGACGACAAGGAACGGTGACAGATGTCTGACACGGTAATACGGGCACTAAATCGCTATCCAGCGTCGGACATCTCGAGGTAAAGGGCAACGTTTCAACCGTTACGATAACGCGGCCCCGGTGCAGGTGTGCGAAAAATCCGCGCCCGAGGCACCTTGGGCACTGGGCGCTGCCCTTCTACGACAAATCAGAGTATGTCCCTGAGTTCAAGCTATGGTTGGGCTTCAGCCCGCCCAGGCCGAACTACCTGTGCGCCGCTGACCTGTCCACCATGGACCATGGCCAACGGCCCGTCGTACATCATGTTTGGGAAGATCTTGATCGGCCTGAGGAAGAGGACTGGGTACCGACGCATTTCAGGATACTGAACCTTGGCTCTGGCAAGTTTTGCATTGCTAAAATCATTAGCGCAGAGGCGACTGGCATGAAATTTTCTGTGCTCACTGGCATCGAGATGGTTCGCGGCAAAGATGATCAGAGCCGCAGTGATACGGAAGCCGGCCATCCACCCATGACCAAAAACAATCACGGTAATACGGTATCCGTCCACGAATGCGTCTGCCGTAGTGATACGGAAGCCGGCCATCCACCCATGACCGCATACATTTCAGACCGATTTCAACACACAAGATGAAAGTCTAAATGATTGCCGCCACAGGCAGCGCCCGTTTCCCACAACATATCTTTCTCATGTCCGACAGCAAGCTCATCGGCCGGCCGTGAGCCCCGGGAAGTGAAGATTCAACGGGAGGGGAAGAGTAGTGGCCTTCGCGAAGCTGCGAGCAAGCTCATCGAATGTGTGACCCTACAAGACGTCGACAGTGGCCTTTCTGGGACCCAAGCGGTGGCGGCCTCCCATATTCTACTCTTCCTCGCCATCGACAGGGGCAGACATGGACATGCCAACCTCGTCGTCATGGCGGCGGGGTGCGAACGACGATGGCGGCGTGGTCAAGGCAGAGCTGGTGACATCCTCGCTCTCGTGTGCCTCCTCTTCCTCCGTCGCCGCGTCGATGTCCAAGAACAGGGCGTCTCCCTCTGCCCACAGCACGTGCAACCGCCATCGCTCGTGGTGGATCTCGCGGGCGCTGCAGTACGACAGGAGCAGCACTTGCTCCTATCGAGGAAGCCTAGACCGTCCGCCACCATAGTTATGACAGGCTTGTCGTTCGCCTGGTCGCTGACGATTTGTTCCTCCGCGAGCTGGTGCTCGTCGAAGGAGTCGGGGAGAAGGCGCGTACACCGGGTTGCGACGCATGCGACACTTTCGACCGACGCACCACTTCAATGCTGGCTCTCATTAGATGTCATGTCCGTTGGTGCTCCCGAGCGGCACTGACCGACATGAATATGCGGCAATCACTTCATGCGGGAAATAGTGTGAGCAAGTGAAAGGGTTTTGGGTGGTTCCGGGTGTCTGTCGCGTGCTGCCCAACGGTTTGGACGCCCGCAAAGCATCCTAGTTTGCCTCTGGTCCGTGGAAGGACGGACGTCCGGACCAGTCCACGGACCGATGGAGTGCCACGTTGGATGATAAAATAAATACAGACCGCTTGATCCGGATGGATGCGAGCGATTTGAGGTTAGTGTTGGAAGATCAAAGTTTGACTACATATTTAACTAGTGAAATTCACTATATTATTCACATATTCAACTCTGCGGCGCTGATTATGAACCGGAGGAAACTGAACTTGGTGAACGTAAACATCACAGGCATTTTGTAGTTAGCGGGACGTCTCCTTTAGCCGAAAACTTATCGTCAGGAATTGGGGGTCATTCTTTTCTTTCCGAACAAACATTATCAGTCTCTGGTTGTGTCGTGTTGCCTTGGATCATATACACTCTATTCGATCCTGTACGGCTGTACACTCCTTGCCCTATGTATTTATATGTAGTATTTGCCATTCGTGATCAATCGCAGCCATCTAGAAAAATAAAAATTCCCTCGCGTGCGCTCCTCCATCACATCCTCTTGCGTCGCATGATCCGGCGGGAGCGCTCTCGGTGATGCCGCCGGCGATCGCTTTGGCGTCGGCGTCGGCGTCGATGCGCGGCGGCGAAGGCGCGAAGGGTACGGCGCGGCGCCCGGACCGCGTGCTGGCCGCGCGCCGGCGGCGAGCTGCCGTGCTGCTCCTCGCTCTAGCGTACACGGCGGCTATGCTTGTGCTCCTCCTGGGCGCTGACGGCACGGGCCTGGGCACAGGTGGTGGACGCGTGGTGGTAGGTGCGCCGCGTCCGCGGGCGCGGGCGCCAGCGCCGCCCGGATCGGTGTACCGCAGCCACCTCGTGTTCGAGCGGCTCCTGCCGGAAATGCGCGCCCTCGCCTCTCGTCCTAGCCCGGTGAGTTCTTGCTCGTTCCCAGGGACTAGTAATGTTTATTCGATCCATTCCCAGCGGAATGGGTGGATTGGCTTAAAAAAGAGGTGGAAATTTTCTTCCGGCCATGTGCGTCGGATGAATTTTTCTCGTCTACTCCTTGAT